TTTCTAACCCCACCATAGCAACCACCACAAGGGAAATTTCTAAAGTTTTGAGGTTTAAAAGGCCTGTGAGTTCCCTGGGTAAAAGGATTTCCTAGGACCTGTGAGTCTAGGAAGCCACGTGGTGCAAGGTAAACTGATTAAATTACTCTACCCTCCATATGTGTATGTTGGCATGGGTGTCCCATCCCCATACAGAAAAGTTACAGACCAGTGAGATGGCCAAGCAGGCAAAAGAACTACCTACTTCATGCTTTCCAACCTTCATATACATGTCACAGGACACACATACACAAGATAATCAATAAAGGTTCATGTGAACAAATCTGAACCACATAAAGAACTCACAGGGGAGCCAGGCAGTGGTGGCACATGCCTTTCAGCACTCGGGAGGCAGGCGGATCTCTGAGTTCGAGGCCAGCCTGGTATACAATAACAATTTCCAGGACAGGCTCCAAAAGCTAAGGAGAAACTGTCTCAAAAAATAAATAAAAAAAAAAAAAAAAACAGGGGCTGGAGAGATGGCTCAGCGGTTAAGAGCATTGCCTGCTCTTCCAAAGGTTCTGAGTTCAATTCCCAGCAACCACATGGTGGCTCACAACCATCTGAAATGAGGTCTGGTGCCCTCTTCTGGCCTTCAGGCATACACACAGGAAGAATATTGTATACATAATAAATAAATAGATTTAAAAAAAAAACAAAACAAAAAAAACCCAAACAACTCATAGGAATGTACACAGAACCTGCCCCAACAATGCATGTCTTTGCCATTGTTCTTGGTAAGACCTTTTTGCTGAAGATACCAGGACAGGGAGGAATCTAGTTGGTACTGATCAGAAGGTTCCTCCCTGCTGGTTACTACTAGAAAGTTTTACACAGGCAGTGGTGGAACAGGCCTTTTATCCCAGGACTTGGGAGGCAGTGATCAGCCTCTACAGAGTGAGTTCCAAGACAGGAACCAAACAAAGCTACAGAGAAACGGTGTCTCAAAAAAAAAAAAAAACCCAAAAACACCTCGGGCTGGAGAGGTGCCTGCTCTTCCAAAGGTCCTGAGTTCAATTCCCAGCAACCACATGGTGGCTCACAACCATCTGTAATGAGGCCTGGTGCCCTCTTCTGGCCTGCAGAAAGAATATTGTATACATAATAAACAAAAAAAACTATGATCATAGCCTGAAAACACATTAAAAAAAACCTCTAAATTATTCATATATTAATTAGTGCAGCCCTCATTACCATTTCTTCATGGGCAGCAAATGCTGGTTAACACAAAAACTAGTCAAAGTACAGAGAATAAATTTCTTTATAGTCTAGGGGGAAAAATCCTCCTCCAAAGAAAAGGCATAAAGATTTTAAGAGCCAAGTCTGTAGGACTGAACTCTGTAGTCTAGACAGAATAGAACCACTAATCAACTTATAGCTCTTTATCTGCATTCACTTAAATTGATCAATTCCAGCACGGTGAAGGGCTCAAGAGCTCCAATCCTTAGCTGAAGAGTGAGTGTGGCTCCTGGTCTAGAAAGCAGAGGCAGACCCATCTCTAAATTCAAGGTCAGCCTGTGCTACAGAGCTCCAGAATAGGTAAGAGTGCTAACAGAGAAACCCTATCCCAAACACCAGAAACATTATTTCAATCAGGTGGTGGTGGCACATGCGTTTAATTCCAGCACTTGGGAGGCAGGGGCAGGCAAATCTGAGTTCGAAGTCAGCCTGGTCTACAGAGCTAGTTCCAGGACAGGCTCCAAAGCTACAGAGAAACCCGGTCTCAAAATACAAAAACAAACAAAAAAACATTGCAATATCTTGCATGAAAAATTCTCAAGTATTGGGGGCTGGAGAGATGGCTCAGTGGTTAAGAGCATTGCCTGCTCTTCCAAAGGTCCTGAGTTCAATTCCCAGCAACCACATGGTGGCTCACAACCATCTGTAAAAGAGGTCTGGCGCCCTCTTCTGGCCTTCAGGCATACAGACAGAATATTGTATACATAATAAATATTAAAAAAAAAAAATTCTCAAGTATTTTCTTGACATGGTAAATTGTCTTGATGCTTAAGTCCCAGGGCACTCTGGGAAGTAACACTCTTAGGCTGGTGTTCCTGAATACTATAATGAAGCAGGCTGAACAGCTAGCTATAAAGAGCAATTAATTTAGTAAGGACTTACTCTTCTATTGTTAATAGTTCCTAACTATCTATGCACCTGTCAATCAAATCAGAGCAGCGCTGGGTTTAAAATGTTCACCACCACAGCCAGCTCAAAGTGCTTTTCTAAACCCCATTTTCTTTCTTTCTTTTGGTTTTTCGAGACAGGGTTTCTCTGTGGTTTTGGAGCCTGTCCTGGAACTAGCTCTGTAGACCAGGCTGGTCTCGAACTCACAGAGATCCGCCTGCCTCTGCCTCCCAAGTGCTGGGATTAAAGGTGTGTGCCACCACCGCCTGTCTTAAAATCCCATTTTCTAAAGTGTCCTCTTCTCCTTTCCCAGTGTGTTCAAACATAACTTCTTTTTGGGAATTCCCAAAGGGGACTAAACCAAAGTAAATATAGCCCACAAGTTTTAGATTTCAATGCACATTAATGTTGTATTCTTCCTTTACCAAATGGTTTCTCAAGGACATGCTAATTTACTGTTAAATAACAAATTCGTGGGTTGGAGAGATGGCTCAGAGGTGTTAAGTTCAATTTAAGTACCCACCATGGTGGCTCAAAACCATTCATAATGAGATTTGGTGCCCTCTTCTGTCCTGCAGGCATACATGCAGGCAGAACACTGTATACATAGTAAATAAAAACCACACAGAAACCCAATTCCTGATTATTTTCCACTCATACAGTACAAGATTAGTAAAATGACAGGTTTCACACATACCAAGGCCTTGCCTTGAATTCAACCTCGAGCAAAACCGTCCCCCAAATGAAAAACACCAATATATTAAGAAAGCTTTATTTGGGATTTCACTATTTAACAAGGTAAAGTCCCGCCTTTTAATCTACAGGATCTAGGGCAGTTCCTCAAAAAACCATCATTAAGAGCCTTACTGTAATCATGCTAAGTGGGTAATGGTTACAAACACCCTTGTCCGGTCTTACCTCCTGAAGTATATTTTAGATCTTTGTGAACCATGAATTGAAAATAAGGGATAGCCTTCGCTGAAGAAGGGGAGAGGCTTGCAGCTGAGAAGGGCCTAGGAGGCTTCATTTTGATAAACAGGCAAAAATCAGGGTATCAGTTGTCATCAAATGTTTTCACATGCCTTAAGTAATCACAGAACTTACTTTCATTCAATGCCTTAAGAAAAATAGAATACATTCTACATCCCCTCAATGTAAAATGTGGGCAAGGGGCATGTCCATTTTAGACACTTTTCCATTTAAACCCAACCTACTGATATAAGCAGTTTCCATTTTAAATGCTGAAAACTGAGAAGCAGGGCCTAGAAATACTATTTTTTGGAAGCTGGAAGGATATAGCTCAGTTCATAGAACGCAGCTATCCTAGTGTGCAGCAAGCCATAGGCTCAGTCCCCAGAATGGTATATTACATTACTATAATTCCAGCACCGAGGTGCTTTGACTATGGCATTTGCTACTTTGACTCTAGGTCTAAGCCCTTACACAGGGGGGATTTGAGTTTTGAACCTCAAATCTGAGTTTTATCAAACTCTGTTCTGCAGTGGGCCTTCTGGGCCCTTTGTTTCCCATCAATTAGCACTGAGACATAGACTTTCCACAGCTAAATTATTACAATACAGTTCACTATGTGGAAAGTGGAGCAACTGTTATATAGAATCAGAGGCTTATTTTATTTATGGCCTTTGTTGATCATATATAGACACCTTCCCACAGAAAAATCACTCAGTTGAAGTCATTTTATGGCTGATTATTTAATACTACCCCAGGTGACACTGAGTGCATTTCCTTCCCATCCCCCCACCTTCAAGGCAGTTCCAACCACCTTTCTTCCCCAAAGGCCCAGCATAGAAAATGCTTCCTCGGACCAAGTACCCACCTGGTGGGGGTTAGCCACAATGCCCCATAATCTGGGCCTGGCTCAGTGGGTAAGGCAGAATTCTGGGAAGTTCCTGAGTCTTCATCCACCTGCCAAAGCAAATTCATGACCATTTGTGTGGGTGAAAGAAGCATCTTTGAGGCCTGTCCTGTTAGTTGAGCGAGACCGAGGCGATGCCTCCAGGCCAAGGATGAAGCAATGTTTAGAATAACGTTCTGGAGTCTGCAACCTATTTGGCTTGGTATTAACCAGGTGAAACCATGGATAAAACTAATTTTCCCATCCTAACTTTGAATAGAGGACTAACACTCATGGGATCCAAAAGAACCTTCACTAAACATTAGAGGCAGAACTATGTGGCTAATGTTAGACACCCCCTCCAAAAAAATTATAAAGAGCCACAAATGGCTTGTCATTCAAGACAACCTCTGTGACTGTATTCAGTGGCCTTATATACTTAAGTCATTTGAGTTTCCTCCCCAGATGTGGAACACTCTATGCTATGGAAAACAGGAGTCAAATGACTCACCAAAAGCAGGGAGTAGTAGAGCCCACACGTTAACTCAGGACTCTGAAACCACCCTGAACTTCCTTTAATCCGTTTTCTAACCAGGTTTCCCTTATGCCTGACATAAAGTTGTTCAGTATACCTCTATCCCTACAGCCCCCATCATATAAGGAACATGCACTATTTCGTGTATCCCACATCATGAGATAATCGTGCTTATGCTCTCAGGACAATTCTGCAAGTAGGGTACACCTTGTGCTAGGAAAGTAAACTTAAGGAAACAACAGTTGTGAAAGGACTACTTCAGAAAACCCAGTTCTAGTCATAAGAGAACTGACTTATCTGTATCCAATCTTCATCTCACCAAACACCCAGAATCTAAACTTTACTTTCCTGCCTGAACCACTACATTTCCAAGCTTCTACCCACCTGCCTTGCCTCTAGTTCTAAAATGTAAGGAAAATAAGGAAAAACCATTATCAGTATTGATTTGTGTTCAGGTTTCATGTTTTAATTAGCTCCATAAAGGACATCCTAAACACATCAAACACAACAGAATATCTTTTCTTCCAGTATTAAAAAAATGACATTCACAAACATTTTAAAGAAGCTCTTCTATAACCAGGACAGTGCTTGAATAAAAAAACATGTCTAGGTAGTCATGATCTTGATTCAGATTGCTCATAGGTACATTCAGAAATCACTTTCTGTCCATAATAAACATTGTGTACAACTATTTTAAAAAGTCCCTAAATACATATTAATTTTCAAAGCATTAGCTTGACTACCTTTCTGGCCAGAAATAAACAACTTTTTTTGGGCATAAAGGAATATTGGTACCATAACCAATGTCTTAAAATTTGTCTTTAAAAGGAAAAATATGTTTAAACACATGGAGCTTTCTAAGAGGTCTTTATCAAACTACGTTGGGAGCTCAATTCAAAAATAGAACTTGATGTACTAAATAGATGTTTCAGCGCAGCTCCAAAAATCTTTATAAATACAGCAATTTGGAAGGACGATCCTGGATCAGAAGTGCTATTCCTTGTGTATCTGAGAATAGTAAGAAGGGGTAGAATTTTGATGTCAGGAAGAAAACAGGTTGATAACATGCTCATCTCCCGAGTTTCTATAGATGCTGCACACCACCTCTTTATTTCTACCATGCCCCACAGAGCAGATTACTTTAAGGACACCCCCAGCCCCCACCCCACAACTAGCTCTGGCATGCACCAAACAGCAAGAGCAGTCAAATGGTGTCGATAGACAGGTTAAGATACCAAGGTAAAGGGTAGTGTGGCCAGAAGACAAACAAAAGGGTCAGGACAGGAGGGTTTGAAGAACAGTTTGACTCAGTACAAATATTTAGGTCTCACCTACATTATGTGTGCATGCCCCATCTCAGTTGTCATAATTGTCTCTGTAATTTCCTCCTGAATAGCGCTCATAACCACCCTGGCTTCTGGGAAAAAGCGGGATTGATTTACAGGAATGTATTCTACATGGCAGAAAGTAACATTAAAAACTATACATGTCCATTTCATAATAGAAACTTTTAATAGAAGCTTTTTTGCGGTGATGGAAGGTTAAACTAGGCCCTGGAACAAGCAGGGTGATTATCTTTGTTACATCTGAGGAACACAATACTTTTAAAAAAGTATGATCAGAACACATGAAATATATGAACACTAGTGAAAAGTACCATTTTCAGCATAAGCTGGGTATGAATATTAGGCTACAGAATTATTAAGAATTCCAGTACCAGCAGTATCCCAATCTCTCAGTACCCACCTGCCACTGTAGTCTCTAGACCGGCCATACCCGTACCCATATCCTCCAGGTCTACTGTCGTATCTTCCACTTCCATAGCCCTGGTCTCCACCACCTACACGCAAAGATTTAGGAGCAGTTGTTCAGATACAGGCTAACAAATAGCTTTCTACCTCATCTCATAATCAAGTCACCACAGCACTTACCTCTAGAGTAGCTGCGACCGCGCCCATGGGCCCCAAAGGCACCCCCTCTAGTTCCCCGGGCAGACTTGCCTGCATGGTCCACACGGATCTGGCGCCCATCCAGAGACTAGGTGTGGGAAGGAGACAGACAAGGAGGGCCTGTCAGTCAGTCAGAGTAGAGACAAAGAAGAATGGGCACAGGCAGGTGGACAAGAGTCCAGAATTTCCTGCTGGGCACCAAATTCTGGGTGCCACGTTCCAAACAAAGCTCCTCTGACCAGAGTAGCTTCACCAGGAGCTACAGAATCCCACAAACGACCTGAATCCACCGTGCTCCCCTGCTACTACTTACATCTTGACTGAATCAGGCTGAGTTCTCCTCCCCACTCCTCTAAGCTGCCCGACTATTAGGGCTAGACACCTCTCTTGGTTTGAGGCTTCAGAGTCCATCCCAGAAGACTCACGAGGTCCTCTCCGGGCCAGGCCCACAGGTCTGCAGACTCTACTACCTAAGCCCAGGGCAGGTCAACCATCCACAGGTGGCTTCTCGGCCTCATGCAGGACCAGTCGTCGCCTCCCAGGCAGCCCGGCTCTGTGTGCCGCTGCCCTCCACCCCCTAGAACAGAAGGCATGTCATGCTCCTGTGAGTGGACACTGCGGGGCTTCGTGGCCACGCTGCCCCTGGCAGACAGAGGGAAAACAGAAAGAACGAAGAAAGTGGCAGACAGGGAGAAGGCTTCTCTGCAGGCAGGAGGCCTCACCTCTCCATTCATGGCTCTCATGGCGTCTGAGGCATGTTCTGGGTTGGTGAAGGTGATGAAGCCAAAACCCCGGGATCTTTGAGTCTCCCGGTCCTTGACAACAACCACTGGGAGAAGGGACAGAAATGTAAATGTTAACGCCCTAACACTTAAGTGTCAAGCAAGACGGCCAAGTCCCGTATGCAATTAGATTTTTTCTCAGCCTAAATTTACCTTAGGAACATGGGAAGTTAAGGTTATAATTATAATCCCCAGACTATACTAGCTCTTATCCGGCAACCCTCAACCCGTGACCACGGCTCACCCTCAGAGATAGGCCCAAAGCTGCTGAAGTGGTCTTCGAGTGCCTGCTCATCGGTGTTGAAGTTGAGCCCTCCCACGAAGAGTTTCCCCTCTTCAGAAGACATGGCAGAATGTAAATCCTATAGGGCGAACATGTGGAATATTGGGGAAATAGTGAAATGTCAAACGCCGGAAGACTGAAAATTACAGCAAACACAGAAAGCGGGTTAAGAGGAAGAGCAATAAATCAAATGGAAAGACTCGGGAACAGAAAAGGCGGGAACTAATAAGCAGAACGAACCCGTCCGCCATTTGACGACCGCTACGGCGCGTGCCCACATCCCATGCCACCACACCCGTCATTTTGTACGGTCGCGCAGGCCTACAACAGCATTGCATTTCCTCTTTCCCCGCAGAACAAGATGGCGGAGGTCACGTGGGAAACGCCAGCCGGCAGATTGTCGGCATAGACTGTCGCGTGGTCACTGCCGCCACCAACCCAGCCTCCCATTCGGAGGCAGCACGCCAGTCTCCCAATTGGGAGTTTGGTTTTTTTTTTCCTCCCTCGAGCCTGGGACTCGCCCTCCTTGGAGAAGCTCAAGCCTACTCGTCAGCCTCTAGTCTTCCTACTCTCGCCTCCCGCCCCTGCCGACAAGGAAATTGAGGCGAGGGACGACCACTATGCGCGAGACAAACGGTGCTTACCTGGAAAAATTAAAAGCCAAAAGGCCGGAGACACAGCGAGCTCTGAGGAACGGGGAGAACAGAGAGGCACTCGCGCGGGAAGACGCCTGATAAAGCGTGCGTAGCCGGCTCGTCACGGAACGTGCCCCAGCGCGCCCTGGCGTGTGTGCTCATTGGTTAAGGCCAGCGGGGGGTTGGGTAAAGGGAGAGGAAGGCGGGGGAAGCAAATCGCCTTGCCACTTCCGGGAATAGAGACGAACTTTCTGACATGCGCAGTGCATCCTAAGTAAGCGCCTGCATACTAGCTTAGACTTGCCCCCCGCCCCCCACCCCCGTTTCCTTCCACAAACGGTTTGATCCATATAGCCTTTTCCTTCCCGACGTCATGTCTCTCCTTTGATAGGAAGTCTTAGTTGACAGTAAATCAGTGCCAATGAACAGCAATCAATCTTTTTTTTTTTTTTTTTTTTTTTTTTGGTTTTTTGAGACTTGTGGCTTTGGAGCCTGTCCTGGAACTAGCTCTGTAGACCAGGCTGGTCTCGAACTCACAGAGATCCCCGTCTCTGCCTCCGAGTGTTGGGATTAAAGGCGTGCGCCACCATCGCCCGGCCAGCAATCAATCTTAATTAAATTCTTTTCTTTTTTTTTTCTATTTTAGATTTTAATGATAACCTGCGCTCGGGGCCCTAGCTTTCTTCTCAGAACCTCTCCTGGCTCCAGACAGCAAGATCCCCAATTAAATTCTTTTCTACTTCTTTAACCTCGGATCCCTCAAGGGCCCAATGTTTTATCCCTCCATGTCCCTAAAGTTATCACCTTCAGAGTTCTTGAAGTCAGACCGTACATTTCTGAGGGCTTAACCTCTATTACCCCTTTATCATCTGCCCATCACCCAGCCATGTTATGGGACCCTTTCCCTTGATGTCCTTCTCAACTCTGACTTCAGCTCACATCATTATCTGATAGCCTCTTTAAGCCTGATAGAGCTTCAGCAAAACAGGTATTTTGTCGTCAAAGGCTGCATGCAAATGCAACCCACTGAATCAATTTTGCTCTCTATTCAGGGTAATACTCTTGATCCAAAAGACTGAGTTTTGCAATGCGTAGTGAAATCCAAAGCATGTAGTGTCTGAGTCCACTGCCTAACAATTTGGTCTTTCCTGGCCTTCAAGTGTCTAATAATAACTTGCTTGCCTTCAGGGACTCTACATTTTTCACTCCTAGAATGAATTTGTTCAACATTGTAAAGTCCTGTCCCCACTCCACCACCAACCCCAACACAAATAGATCTGTTCACCTTCAGATGCTATTCACCTATGGTTCCTGTTAGGCTTATTCCTTATTTCTCAGGGATTTTCACGGATTATAGTGTTATTAAATTTTAAGTAGTATCCTTACTTAAATACATTTAATTTTTGATTTAATCATTTCTCACCCTATAAGCTACACCTCACTGCTCAGGACAGCTTGAAACTCATAAAGCTCTTGCTTCAGCTTCTCCAGTGCTAGAATCACAACCAACTTCTCTGTTTTTTTTTTTTTTTAAAGAAGTCCTTTCCCCGCCAAGACTGAAAGATACTCATCTACACCTTATTCTGTTAGCTTTTAGTTTCCTGTTTTGCTTTTAGTTTAAGGTCCTCGACCCTTGTATAGGGTTTAGCTCAGTGGTAGAGTGCTTTCCTAGTATGTGAAAGTTCCTTGACTTATATCACAGCAGAAGGGAGAATTGTGTCTGGTTTTTACTGTGCCATTGAGCCAGGAAACTGAGGCAGGATTGTGAAGTTGAGGCTTTTAACAGGTTCCAAAATAACTTTGGCTACATAGTGAGACCCTGTACTGAAACAAGCAAACAGAAATTGGGCGGGTTTTTTGGGGGATTGCATTTTATGTAAAGATCCTGGGTATAATACCATGACATTATCTGTGGTTTTAAGCTATCTGCACACTGATGCTGCTCCTTGGCACCTTGGGTAAGGTGGTGGTGGTGCACGTCTTTAATCCCAGCACTTGGGAGGCAGAGGCAGGCGGATCTCTGTGAGTTCGAGGCCAGCCTGGTCTACAGAGCTAGTTTCAGGACAGGCTCCAAAGCCACAGAGAAACCCTGTCTCGAAAAACAAAAAATAAAATAAAATAAAAATAAAATAGGGCATAAAATTAAAAATGTATTTATTTTTATGTGTATGGGTGTCTTGCTTGCATCCATGTCTGTGCATCATATGTATCTGGTGTTTATAGGGACCAGAAGAGGGCATTGGATCCCCTGGAACTGGAGTTATAGACGCTTGTGAGCCATCATGTGGGTGCTGGGAATTAAATTCTGGAGGAGCAGCCATTGCTCTTAACCACTGAGCAATCTTTCCAGCCCCTCCTTTCTTTCTTTTTTCTTTTTTTTTGTTTTTTCGAGACAGGGTTTCTCTGTGGCTTTTTGGAGCCTGTCCTAGAACTAGCTCTGTAGACCAGGCTGGTCTCGAACTCACAGAGATCCGCCTGCCTCTGCCTCCAGAGTGCTGGGATTAAAGGCGTGAACCACCATCGCCCGGCCCCTCCTTTCTTTATGAATGTGTTTAAAACTATATAAATTTTCTTTACTCCACAAATTTTGTATGCAATACTTTTATTATCTTAAATATTTATTTTTGTCTTTCATCTAAGGATTAGTGTCTCAAAACTGGGAGTTATTTTTTTCTAGTGTCTTGTTATTGCTAGTTTTATTATATATGGTTAGAGAATACACACACACATACACAACTTTTCGTAGTGCTGAGGCTCTAATTGGGCTTGTACATTCTAAGCAAATATTCTAACACTTAGCCACACCTGCAACCTTTAATATTGATGCTCTTTGTGCCCTAAAAACTTGGTATCTAAGTTTTAAACTGTTAATATAAAAGGCACATTTTCCATTCAAGTTATATATTGGGTTTTTTTGTTTTTTGTTTTTGTTTTTTGTTTTGTTTTGTTTTGGTCAAGTTGACAAGTCGTCTGGGCAGAGGGCACCCCATATGAGAAAATGCTTCCATTTGATTGGCCTGTAAGCAAGCCATTTTTCTTGTAAAATGATTGATGGAAAGAGGGCCCAGTTCACAGTGGGCAGTGCCATCCCTGGGCAGATGGTTCTAGGTTGTATGAGCTGAACAAGGCATAGAGAGCAAGCCAGTAAAAGCTGTGATGGCTATTCTTGGTTGACAATGTGAACACATCTGGAATGAACTAAATACAAAATGGAGGGCACACCAGTAGGGGAAGTTTTGCTTAATTTGAAGTAGGAAGGTCCACTTCTAATCTAGATCTTGAGGCTGGAAGATACATGTCTGGGTCTTGAGGTGGGAAGACACTCCTTTAATCTGGGCCATGCCTTCTGCTGGAAGCCTGTATAAGGACGTGGAAGAAGGAAGTTTTTGTTCTCTGTTTACCTTCACCTTGCAAGCAAGACCATCCATTCCTTTACTAACATTAGGGCCTACTTCTTCAGGACCCCAGTATATGCTGAAGACCAGCTAAGACTGGCAGCTTTGCGGACTGAGCAACTACTGGGTTCTTGAACTTTCCATTCCCAGCCGGTTGGGCTGCAGCCTGTAAACCATTCTAATCCTTCTTTATATAGAGAGAGTAATCCCTAAATTCTGTGACTTCAGGGAACCCTGACTAATAAAGCAGCTTCCTCTCGAGAAGCGCTGCGTCAGTCCCTGCTCCAGGTGCCTGCTCTGATTTTCCTTCATGATGAAAGCTATAAGGTGAAATAAACCCTTTCCTCCTCAGTTGCTTTTGCCCATCGTCTTTATCAATATAGCAATAGAAAGCAAATTAAGATAGATCTGATACACATATATCAATATTACTGTATCTATAGCTCTCTATATCTCAAGCTTAAAATGTGTTTGTGGTAGACATACCTTCCTTATCTGTATGAATCTTCACTGTCTTGTAATTTTGTGTGTGTGTATGAGAGATGAAGAGAGATATAGGGAGTGTGGGAGAGAGGGAGGGAGTGAGAGAGAGAGAGAACACATGTTGACATCAGAGGACAACTTTCAGGAAGTAATGTTCTCTCCTACCTTGTGCGTCCTGGGTTTAGAATTCTGGTCCTCCAGCAAGAGCCTTTATCCACTAGATTTCTTCAGTAAGAGAGAACAGGCAAAAACTTCTCCAACGCAACACGGAGAAAGGGTAGGAGCCATAATAACTTGCATTTCCCCCTAACATAGACTGTATTTGCTGCCTCCAGCCACCTGTCTCCCAAAACATACCAGTTCAAGACTGCCTCCTATGGAACTAAAGAGATGGCTCAGCAGTTAAGAGCACTGGCTTCTCTTCCAAACGACCCAGGTTCAATTTTCAGCACCCACATGGTAGCTCACAATTGTCTGTAACTCTGGTTCTAGTAACTCCAACACTCTCACACAGACATGCTGGCAAAACACCACTGTATTAAAAGCAAATAATTTTTAAAAGTTGAATAAAAGAAAGATTGCTATTAAAAAGAAAAAAGACTGCTTTTTATGTCCTCATGGGTCTCAGAGCTGTGCTACAATTTCTGGAACCCATGTTTTCTTAAAAAAAAAAAACTGGCCGAGCGGTGGTGGCACATGCCTTTAATCCCAGCACTCAGGAAGCAGAGGCAGGAGGATCTCTGTGAGTTCGAGGCCAGCCTGGTCTACAAGAGCTAGTTCCAAGACAGGAAACAAACAAACAAAAAAAAAAGCTACGGAGAAACCCTGTCTCAAAAATCCAAAAAAACAAAACAAAAAAGACTGGGTGGTAGTGGTCCATACCTTTAATCCCACTACTCAGGAGGCAGAGGCAGGCAGATCTCTATGAGTTTGAGGCCAGCCTGGTCTACAAGGTGAATATATATAATGTGTGTGTGTATAAATATAAAATATATTTGTATTTTATGCATGTGTATATTTATATATTATATACACACAAATATCAAACACATATGTATAATATACATAAAAATATATACGTGCACATTTTTGGTTTTCTGAGACAGAATTTCTCTGCATAGCCCTGGCTGTCCTGATACTTGCTCTGTAGACCAGGGTGGACTCAGAGAGCCACCTGCCTCTGCCTCCCGAGTGCTGGGATTAAAGTTTATGCGTCTGCCTGGCTCTAAAAAAACCTCTTTTTTTATTAGATTATGCA